AGGCCAATAAAGTTGTAACAAAATAGTTCTAAACATTAAATTTTACTAAATCTCCTCACATTTACGAAAGGTATCGAAAACAAAAACTGCAAATCAACATGGCTTCGAAGTTTAAGCCAGAATTGCATGTCTTAATGGAGGAGCACACGAACTTACTTTGCACTTACACTTATTTCAATCTGTGTATAGATCCATGCCATCTCTCATTTTGAAGATTTTGATGTCTCTTAATAACTAGTCCTCCATCTCTCTCTCTAGATCTTCCCTTCGGTCTTTCGAATTAAAGAGAGAGAGAGAGAAAGATTTGTCTTAGCCATTTTAGTTTTTGCGCTTTATTCTTTTTCTTCAGCCTTCATTTATCCATTGTTGGACATAGGCCTCCTCCAATTGCTTCCACGCTTCCCTATCTTTTGCAATTCTTATCCACTGCTTTCCAGCTACAGCTGTTATATCGTCTATCCATCTCTTTTTGGGTCTTCCCACGCTTCTTTTTGTTTCTCAAGGTCTCCAGAATGTAACTTGATGAGACCATATGTTGGTGTCTTGTCTTGCTACGTGTGCTACCCGTTGCCATCTCAATGTTATTATTTTTCCCATGATGTCGGTTACTTTGGTTCTTCGACGTGTTTCGGTGTTAGGAATTTTGTCTCTGAGGCTTATATTTAATATGGCCCTCTCCATGGCCCGTTGAGTTACTCTTAATTGTTCTGCCATTTTTCTTGTTATTTTCATAGTTTTCAATCCATAAGTTGCAACTGGTAGTATACAAGTGTCATAGGTTTTTCGTTTCAAGTGTATTGGGATTTTTATGTCTTTTAAAATAAAGCTCAACTTACCAAAAGCAGCCCATGACAATTGTGTCCTTTTAATTTCTAGGGTTTGATTGTCCTTTTCGTTTTTAATTGCATGTCCTAGATATATATTGTTCTACCTTTTCTATATTGATGTTATCTATCGTGATGTTTTCTGCTGCTTAATTTTTGGCTTTGTTTTGTCACGATTGATTTTTAATCATATTTGATTCGATTTGTGATTTATATCTTGTAGCATTGATTTTAGTTCATGGATATCTGGGCTTATTAGTACTATGTCGTCTGAGAAACGCAAATGGTTAAGATATACTCCATCTCTTTTTAATCACTTTTCGGTCCAATTTAGTTTTTTGAAGACATTTTTTAATGCCAATATAAATAACTTGGGTGAGATGGTGCCGCTCTGTCTTACACCTTTGCCAAGGTCTATCTTCATAGTTTCCAGATCATCATCTATTTTTACGTAAAAAGTAGCATTATCGTATATATTCTTAAGAAGGGCAGCATATCTTGAATCTACTCTGGCGTCGTCCTATGCTGTTAAGAAAGCCCATTTCTCGATACTGTCGAATGCTTTATGATAATCGGCAAATGCTTGATAATGTTGTACTCTATTGTTTTTTCAATCACTGTCTGGATTGTTTTCAAGTGATCGATAGTGCTAAAACCCCTACTAAAGGCTGCTTGCTCTACTGGTTGGTATGCATCTAGCTTAGCTGTCAATATATTTGTTATTATTTGGGTTAGTAGTTTGAAACGGTGTGACAATAAGCTTATTGGTCGGTTATTTTCTAAATTTGCGGCGTCCTCTTTTTCGTGGAGTAGGATGACTTCCGCATTATTACATATTCTTTTGATATTTGTCGTTCCAATAGGGATTTATTCAGTAATGCTTTTATCACCTCTTCTAATGCAGTGCCTCCCATTTTTAGCATCTCTGAAGTAATTTTATCTTCTCCTAGTGTTTTCCCATTTTTCATTTGTTTAAGGGCGGCTCTAATTTCTGATGTTTTTATTTCAGGGAGATCCTGTGAGCCCACATTTAAATATGTTTTGTTGATATATCGGATTCTAAATAGTAGAAGTATACAGCTTCTCATAAAATTTTTGGTTTCTCACTTGATCCACGGTCTCGTCTTTTAAGTAAGCAGCACATTGGAGGAGGTCGCAGGTGTGGACATGTGTGACATACGTTTGACGCAGTTGCTGGGCAAGCTACACAGGTCAGATCGAAAAATATACGTGTCCACGCAGTCGTGAGCGCCATTTGTGGAAGCAGTTTTCTCAAAAATTTTGAGGTACGGAATATCGAATATTTTTATATGAACATAGAAAGAGAATTTTATAATTAAATAATGGCGTTATTTTCTGGAGAGTTCCGAATTAGAGTCAATTTGAAGAAATAGTTTTTTTATTCAACATATCCAAAGTGAATGATCATTTTGGAAAAGCAACTATATGAAAAGAAAACTTATATATATTATTTAAATTATTTTCGGGGGTTTTAAGCAGAAAAACAAGTTGATGAAGTACATATTATAATAGAAAACAGTATTTTTCAGATGGCCTTTAATGTCAAAAACCAACTGGAACAAAGAAAAATAGCTTAAAAGAGGTTGTTAAATCTTTGTATAATGGGTATTATTTATTTAAAAAACCCTTAAAGGGCCACATCAATAAAACAAACGTTTGCGGACACACAAGTCCTTTTATCAGGTATTAAAATCGAAAAATGCTAAAAAATAATTTTCGATTTTAATAACCTGATGATGGCACTGTTGTGGTCCGAAACGTTTGTTTTATTGTGTGGGCCCTTTTAAGGGTTTTTTAAATAAATATACCCATTTACAAAGATTAAACCTCTTTTTGTTCTACGTGGTATACAGCCAGCTTCAGAATTTTTTCCTTGTGGATTTAAAAACTAGCTGTTTTTTAAGGTATTATTTTATTAATTTTGTTTTATTAAATAAATACAAAATTATCATTTTAAACAATCATCTTCTATAATTTTCCACAAAATTAAAGATTACCAGTAATCAACGGGTTTATGGAGATAATATCAGGCAGACAACCTGGGGGGTTGAGTGTAATAGATGAAATACATTACTGGTGCTTCTAGAGTTTTGTTATCATTTGACATAAAATAGAGTTGTTGGGGTGGTGAACTAGGAGCTAGAGGTATTAATTACAATGTTGATTCTCAGTATGTCTGGCTACTGTGACTGGAACTTGGTGATGGAAGAGATTTGACGAGTAATGGGGCTGATGAATATGGGTATAAACATATGCACTTGTAAAAAACTCTTTGTTCACTATGAGTGTAGTTTTCTTGACTGGGATCATGAAATTTTAGATATGCAGCTTCGAGCTGCAATATAGCTTGGAACACATCATTTCTTGCACGATGTTGAAATTTTGGAGGCATTTTTTGGTTATTTTGTACATCAACATATAAAAATGATAGAGATCATCATCCAAAGGCTTCTGTGCTGCCCTTTCAACTGCTCTTTCTTCGGTCCTTTTTTGACGTTGCATAATTGACTGCTTTATTACTTCCTATATATCATCATTTTTAGGTTTCTTATTTTTAGCTGCTTTGGTTGTGTTTGATTGGTCTTTAGATGCCTTACGTTTGGTATTTTCTTCTTCGTTATTTTTTTGTATAAACAATACCAGACGTAGACGGCTCATTAACAATGTCATTTTTAACACTCTGGATTTCTTCGGAATCATGTCGAATGTCGCTGGTCACCTCGTCAAAAATTTCACTCTCTGGATCAACTATGGAGTCTTCCTGTTGTGGGTATTCATTTTCACTATCTTCTTGTAAATTACTTATTTAATTTAAATAATTGGGATCGTTGATATCGTAAAGAATTCTCTGGCTTCTCACCAATTCGATTAATTGTTCATTCATTTCGAATATAACTACACAAAATTTTACTACAAGCAAACAAACTGCTCCGCACGTGGCACAGGAATCTGTGTCCGGACGACTGCGCTGGCAGGTTTTCTTAAACACAGTTCTGTGCTGCCCTGCCCTGCGTTCCAATTCGCGCGGAGTAATGTAACTGTGCTGTCCTACGCTGCGTTGCCTGCGTCACCTGCGTCTGAATGTGCGGCGCGCCTTATCTTTATGATTTTATTTCTGCCAGTGGATTTACATGTGTTTAGTACTTTCATGTTCTTATTGTTCTGTATGGTGTCAAGAATCTGGCTTGTTCTATAAGCTCTGAGGTCTTTTCGAATATTTTTCTTAACGCTTTTGTTAAGCGCTTTATAGTCCGGGTTATCTTTGTTCGTTCTTTGTCTTTTCCCTATCTGTTCTAGAGTCTCGGGTTTTAGTTTAGCTTCTTTTTGTTTTCTTATTCTGCAACAAAGTTTCATAGTGACTGTTTGTATGTCTTTAATTATTTTCTCAGCTAGATCATCTATATTCTTGTGCTCAAATGTATTTGCTACTAGTTTCCGTGCTAATTCCTCTTGGTATTTTTCTTTATTACTGGCTAGGATGTCTGCCGTCGGTAAAGGGTTTATTGTTAATAGTTTTCGTCTGTCTCTCTTTATGTTAATACGTATATCGGCACGAACTAGTCTATCGTCACTGCCGGTGTTAACTATGTTTGTTACATATTGATCTATTACTGGAAAGGATACATACTTCTTGTAATTTCATCGTTTTGCATTTTTATCGGGTTCATAATTCTTACTAGGATTTTTGTCTCAAATATTCTTAATCTTTCTTCGTCTTCATTTCTAAGGCACATTGTATCAGTTTTGTTTATCAGTTTTGTATTTCTGGATAAGTTTTTGTCCTTCACTAGTCCAGTTATCCAGTTTTTCTTCTCATAAATATTTCTGTCTCGATATTTACCTAACTTATCCCAGGCTGTTTTAACTATTATATTTTCTGTTATATCCTATAAATATGCATACTTTTATTTTGTGGCAAATAGACAATTTCACAAATATTCACACACACACACACAAATATGCATACTTCAATTGTCATTTCTCTCCTGTACAAACTTGCCTTATTTTGTTCATTACTGTTTTTCCTGTCATTTTGGGACTCCCATTCCATTCGTCTTATATTCGAGTGTGAGAGATATTATTCGTTTGTTTATAACCGTATCATTGATTTTAATCTAATATTGCATGCATTCAAATTATACAATAAAAAAGCAATTTATTCAAAAATAAAATTTATTTAGAAAAGTACATTTACATTTCACATTGAAAAAACAACATTTTGTCAATTAATACAGTAATAAGTATTTAATACAGTCAATAATATCTCTTGTTGTACTTAATTCCTTTTCAAGCTCTGTTGAATTTCCTCCAAAGTTTTTCCTTTTGTCTCTGGCACAATAAAACACGATAAAAGAGCTGTGATCATATCACAACATCCAAAAACAAAAAACGGTCCACATAATCCAGTCAAACGTGTCAAGTTATAAAAATATTTATTTGTAAGAATATACATGATGGCGTATATCATCATCACAACAGATATAGCTTTTGCTTTAATACTAGCTGAGAACAACTCACTCAGCATGAGTCCTGGAAGAATTCCGACACCAAAGGCAACGAAGACTAGAAAGATGAGCATGCCCACCAGCGGAAACCACTTGAAATTAGAAAGATCTACGGTTGGACAATGTTCATCTATGTAAAAATAAGTACCTTCAAGTAGAAGTATAATAGAAGTTAAGGCTAGAGATATGGCAAATGCTTTTTTTCTTCCTAACTTTTCAGAAAACACCGAGGCAATTGTATATAGAACAAAAGCTACACCGGTATATATTAAAGTAGCAACTGAAGGATCGATATTTCCACCGGCTTTAGTAAAAATAAACTGTGTATATGTGATAAATACCATAATACCAGACAAAACAAGTGACACTCTTATAAATATGCCAATCAGAACTGCTTTTCTATTACTTTTAATGAGAATTAAATCTTTCCAAGTACCAGACTCAGAAATTTGTCTTTTAACGTCATCTTTGAGTATTGTATACTCATCGTCAATGTCATCCCTTAACCTAAAGAACCTTAATGCAGCTTTTGCTTCTTCATCTCTGTCTTTCATAGCAAAAAAATACGGCGATTCTGGCATAAAATAAAACGCTGATACAAATATTAGAGGCACTGATAGACTTACAATAGAAGTTTGTGGTACTGTTAAAAAAATACCGAAAACATTTATTAAGAACTGTCCTAAGAATCCAAAAATCATCAACCCATTGCCCCAAACGCCTCTAACTTCTGGCGTAGATATTTCCCCGATATACAAAGGCAACGATGCAAACAATAAACCATCCCCAAGTCCCGCACAAAATCTAGCAAGATACAGCACATAAATATTAGTAAAAAACAATTTGAGTAACCAACAGATCGAATACGGTAAAGCTGTTAGCATCAAAACCGGCTTTCTGCCAAATCTGTCTGGCAGGAGTGAGGTAAACGGTAAAGATACAACTAGCCCAATAACGTTTATCATTGTAAAATAAGAGGCTTCTTCTTCTGTGATGTTATAATTCTCCTTATCGTGAGTTATCTTTACGACGTAGGGCGATGACCAGGCTATTGTCATTCCACTGATAGCCGAGCTGAGGCAACCTGAAAATTGAATAATTAGGTAAATACCAGTCAGCACAAGAGTCAGGTTACTGTAGAACTGTATTGTTGGTAAATTTTAAATTATTATGCTACTAAAATGGGTAATAAAAAGAAAAAAAACAACTTATTCACAATATGTTACTTTTAAATCTAAAAGAAAATTACACTTATTATAAATAATTCTGCCAATATGGAGTGTATTTGACTTTGATGCGTATATTACTAGTTATCTATAGTGTATTATAGTTAGCTACATTATAGTTATGTAAGTAATCTTGCATTTAATGAATTTAATATTTTAACTTTAATTTTCTTTTTATCTGTTAAGTACACTAAGCCCAGAATAGCAAAAGACGTAAGCTGCGCTAAAACCGGAGTAGGAATTCAGAATTCGTTTTGCGCTTAATTGCAATGTTGCCGCGGTTGCACACACACACAACATAACAATTTATGTAGAATCCCAGCTCCGAGTGACATGTGTGTTCCAATGGAACAGTGGGACCTACATGTCCGAAGATCAAACCGGTCACACTCCATCATGGAGTAGTACCTATCTGACCCCCAAGCTATAAAAACCGCCCTTTCTATCGCAGAACATAACAAATGAGGAGACTTTGTACTGAAGGTTACTTTGGATGCCCTGGGTAATGGGACATCCCCTGTTTTACTTCATGTGGTTAAGCCACCTGATTTTAAGGGTAGATTTAAGGGTAAAAAGCTTTTCTTCCTATGAATGACTGAATTTTTTTTTACATGACTTTTGACTTGTGTCCCAAAATGTTTCTTCTGGACAGCGAGTTACCGATCTAAGTCTCCACCCGGATTGTGTGTGCTCGGTCACTCAGCCGCTGAATTGGCAAAATAATTTTTGTTCTCCTCGTCGGCTGAGTACCCGAAGGGTTTGGCCATCAAGCCCACGTTTGTCGGTACGTGACCTCGTTGAACTTGGTCGTTTTGACCTAGCTTAAGGGCCTTTTAGCTCTACAGGTTTTCTGCCTGTGCTGTTGATCATCATTCACTCTTATTTTGTGTATTGTATTGCGCTGCATGGCTGCTTCAACAGAAGGTTATAACGATTAAAAATTAAAAAAATAATTAAATAAAAAAATACAATATAAGGATGGGGTATTTTTTGAGCCTTCTGTTACTGCGTTTATTCGACTATTGCATGGCCATCATTTCTTCACTGTTCTTCTAAGTCTTGTCTATATCCAGGTAGCTGCTGTCTGGGCTGTTTATGTACTGACGTTTAGTTTTCGTCATGGTCTGTCAACTCTCTTAATAGCCTACTAGGATGGTTCCTGAGATCGTTGAAAATTGTCTGTGCTTTTTCGTCCATTATTCTTAGGATTCTCTTTTGTTCTGAGTCCCTAAATACGAACCCTAATTAAAACGTTGTTAGGTATATTAAGAGCCTCTCTAATCATATGGTTCTGGACTATTTGTATTTTGTTTCTGTTAGATTTGTAGGTGTGTCCCCATGCGACCGAGACGTATATTAGTGTTTGTAAAATTATACAATTTGCCTCCTAATCTTTGTTTTAAGTCTTAGTTTTATTTCTTCCGACCTATTAATGATGAGAGTTGACTTGCAATTATTTTAGCTTTCTGGACCGTTTGTTTCACGTTTTCTGCGAAGGTCAGCTTTTTGCTCAGCGTTACGCCTACGTATTTGGCTTGATTTGACCATTCGATTTGTTTATCAAATAGGGATAGAACCCCATTTGGCCCGCCTCTTCTTTTTTGGTACATGACGACCTGTGTTTTGTCAGGATTGACAGCTATCTCCCACTGTATACACCAATCTTGTAGTTCGTTAAATGCCCTTTAGAGGTGTCGTGTTGCTAGATCTGGGTTGGTACTGCTAACAGCAATCGTTGTATCGTTTGCGTATAGACTGAGCAACGATCTGATTGTCACGGTTGTTATAAATATTGACTGATTTCTTTTGAAGTATTGTTTATAACTATGTAGTTGTATTTAATTATTTAAATTTTTATAAATTTTAAATGGCTATTTATGAATGTTAGGTTACTGTAAATTCTTGATACTATAGAAATAATTGATGGATTCAACCGATACTTGATGGAAATTCATTTTATGTAACAATAAAACACTGAAAACTTCGTTATCAAACTTCCACAAAATTTATTTTAACTCTTATCACTATAGCTGTTTCGGCTGATTGCCTTTCTCAAGTGATCTATTTTTGGCATGCGTTTACAATTTATAGTCTCTAATGAAATAGGTTGAGGAGGGGAGAACTGTTTGTCTCAAGTTGGTAATTCAGAATTATATCTGTGTTTTTTAATTTGTTGATTTCCATAAATTCTAACAAAGATAGCTTAAGGACCTTTATTTTGAATTTGAAGATTACATATATAGACAAAATAACAACAAAAATAGCCAAACACATAAAAAAGAAAGTAATAACACCAGCTTTCCGAACAAATGACAACCTAGGCAAATATATTAAAAAATAACAAGAACCAAAATAAAAAACACTTAAATAGTGGTGTGTAGAAACTTCAATGTGGCGACTGCCCAAAAACTTACATCGGTCAAAATGGTAGAAACTTTAATAAACGAATAGCAGAACATAAAAGGGCTTTCAATAATAGAAAAACAGATTCGACATACGCACTTCACCTTCTAGATCATAATTATTCTTTTAATGACAAATTTAAAATTCTTCACATTCAAAATAAAGGCCTTAAGCTATCTTTGTTAAAATCTATGGAAATCAACAAATTAAAACTGTTAAAACAAATGACTGTATTTTGTAATTGTAGTAATGAATTGTAATTGAAAACATTCCCGTTAAAATTTTAGCGACTCAGACATACATTTTTCCACTTAATAGTTTACAGATACATAATTTTTAATGTAAATTAACAATACTTTAAATAATTTTGCATAACATAACTTTGTTGATACCCGATAAGTTATTCAGATCAATTAGTTTCTACGTAAACATAATAAATATTGGAAATAACAGCGGAAATACGATATGTGATGTTTGTTTCCTAGAAACTAACATAAAAATAAACAATTTTATGGTAATGGCTCATAAAATTTCAAAAACAATGAATACAAATAATTAAATAATTAATTATTGTTGAATTTATATAATTTATATAACGTTTCCATCATGTGATCACAATTTTCAATTATTTTATAAGGTACGGTCAGTACTTGTGTCATGATAAAAATATATTGTCTTGTTGTATTCTAAATGTTCTTAACGTTGTCATATTTAACATTTTTCTGATAATAATAATCACTTTGATTTTTAAATGAAACATCCCGTATATTGTCCTTAACTAAAATCTTAATTTGAATACCACTATTGTTCTGTAGCTATTTTCTTGTGGCATTTTAAAGTAATTACTATTTTAAGTAGTACTATTTTAAGTACTAATTTAAATGGGAATAAGACGCAATTAAAGGTAAAAATACGTTTATTAACGTTTCAATTTCCACTTCGAAAATCGTTTTCAAAATACAAACAATAGTAAATTAAACAAATTTTGTTTTTTTGTACTTAGTGAAAAATTCTTCTAACAATTTAATTTTATCTGACTCATTTATATTGACAATTCAGACAAACATTATACATTTTAAAGTAGACGACTTTAAAATGATCTGGCCAATATTGTTGAGTTGCGCTCCTGGGACGACTTTACTTATAAGATGGTTCATTCGATTACATGAAATCAACTTTAACTTGAGAATATCCGTCAGAAAAAATCCTAGCATATAGTTCGTCTTTAAAAAGACAAACACATGCCATAAGGACAGTAAAATTCTCTTGTCAGTGATTCAATAGTAAATTATGAGGGAAAAACCTGGAAAAAACCTCATAATACTATCCCGACATGGTAAGTATTTGGTCGTGCATTTAGTTTACCTTCAATAAATACAAAATTCTGATTTTATATGTTTGTTATTTAAAAAACATAAATGATGTATCCTCCATATGTTACTGACTTACTAATACTGGTATTTTCTTTTTAATAAGTTCCTCTTTCAATATGGGTAACCAGATCCTACTACATTCTGCCGGAGAATTTGCGACACCATTGGTCTCATTAGCATAATTAGAGCCGCTTCTTTGATTTTTCTCCTTTTACCATCCGTTTCTTTTAGGACTATATTTGAATCATTCCATTGAACCCTATGTTCATTATTCCATGCGTGTTTACATATTTGAGATCTATCAAATTCTATATTTTTAATATAAGACTGATGTTCACTTATTCTAATATTTAATTGCCTAAATAGCCTATAATGGCCTAAATAAAATTGATCGCATTCACAAGGTATTTTATAAATACAATTTTTTGTCCAATAAGGATTCGCAATTTTGCCAACTTTGTTCTATTCTTACAATAATGTTTCCAAATAATTATAAACCAGATATACCTGAGAGTTGTTTGCGGTTTCAAAAAGATGAATATCCATGCAGTATGCTATTACTTCAGGGAAATAAGGAAAATTTTATGGCAATAGTCAGGTATTTGACGAGTTTTTCCGTTAATATAAATATACCCCCAGTAAGAAAACCTCTATGTTTTCTACACGCATTTGGCATTGTTTTTTAATTATTAACAATTTAGTGCGAAATACCAAAGTAATTATGATTGGCTAAGCATGAGGAATATGGATACCCGCAATGAATAAAATTAAAGCAAAAAATAGACGATAGAAGAAGAAAACAAAAATCGTAGCTTATAAATATTTAAGAATTTAGCAAAAAATGTAGATGTACTCTAATTTGTAATACATCAAATATAATCGCCTCACTCAACAAGAAGCGGCATCTAGGAGAAGAAAAATGACAATGATGCAAACAGCTGTGATATATCATAGCCAAATATACCAATGGGATCAAATATACCCATTAATTAAACTTAGAAATATTTCATATTTTAAAACATTACTCAATTACTTTTAATTTTACTTCGGCAACACTGTGGTTGCTTTTTTTAATATTAATC